GTGGCGAACACCCTTGTCGTCCAATATTCGCCGGAATATTCCCTCCAGGTGGTTATGTGCGTCAAAAATGAATGTTTGGGTGCCGCCGTGCAACTTTTTTTAGTTGAGGTGGGAAAGTGCAAAAACGGGCAAAGTATAGGTGGGAAAATGCTATTAACCCATAATAAAATGTAAAATCATGTATTAAAAAATATATTGGAATTAGTAGTGAAGTAAAAAATGATGTTTTATTGTGATGTATTAAAATACAAACAACCACTGTTTGAGTGAGTCAAAAGAAAAGGTGTGTTAAAAACACTGTTCACTGTGTATAATTTGATAAGAAGTGATATATTTTAGCACAGATGTTGGACTTGCTCTTATACATATTATTTACAACACTTCTCCTTTGGGATCGAACCACTATCATGCTTTCTGTGTTCACTCATTAAAACTTTTCGAGTAATAAAAACCCTATGGGAAAAAGAAAAAAAGCGTACACCAGACAATCTTTTCACTTAGCATGTGTTGCCTTGTTAAAACCTTCCGAGTAAAGAAAACCCCATCGGAAAAAAAACCCCGCGGAAGATATAAATTATTGAAAAATGTATTCTAGCTTACAAATGCTCTGCAAATAAATCAAGGGTAAAAAAACTATGGAATGCTAAATAAATCAAGTTATGCGTAGCATAAATGTAATAATATTTTTATCAGCATGAAAAATATTACCTTTTAGCACGCTTTGGATGAATAAGAGCCAGCTCAGCGAGCTTAGCAGCAGACATGGCTTTCTTAGCATCACCGGAAGAAGGATCCTCCGAGCCAGACATTAGCATTTCCGCTTTGATAGAGGTTGACCCATCCATTGACTGACTATGCTGATGCCTAATTCTTGGTTTCTCACTCAAACCCTAAGCAGCATTATTATCAGCCAATGATTGGTTAGCAAATGCCGATGCAAAACCGAACGAAGAGCCTGGCTCGGCTGCTAAAGAATTAGACGATTCACCCACTTGGAATGCTGACGTGGTGGATGTGGAATTGAAATGCTGACGTGGCGGATGTGGAATTGTACTTATCCATATCGAGGTACATCGAGAGCAAATCCTCCTCTGTTTCGTCGGAGAAAGACGGCCCGTCGAAACCGCCCACCACACCTAGGTCGCTGTCGAAGCTGATGTCGTCGGGTAGGGTGAGGATCTCCGAGTGGGCCCGTCTGTGGCCTAGATTCTTGGACGGGTTGTCGGACATTCTGCTTATATCGTGACAGAACTGCCGAGCATCGGAATGACCAAAATGCCCCTGCTCTGACGAACTGCCTCCTGGGCCGAGTGGGGGTAAATTCGGCAAGCCGGATTGTTCTGGTTTGACATTGTAGCTGCTGTTCGGTGGGGAGAAACCGGAGTACCGACCTGATGGAGGAAGTGAACTTCCACTACAGTGGTGAGACTTGCCTTTTTCCATTGATTGAAAACCTCCAAACCATAAATTCTTGAGAGCCACCTAATACAATGCATAAACAGCTCAATCAAACGAAACGAAATCGAACCAAAACCCTAGAACTTAAGACTCCTTCAAAAATTCACGAAAATAGCTTGTTTTTTCATCTCCTAAATCTACCAATTGGGTAATTGATTAAAACTCGCCGGCACGATTTTGATTATAAATTAAAAGGAAAAAAAAAAAAAAACAGAAAAGGAATGCTCGACAAAGATCTGATTATTCAAATGAGTTTCAATTACGAGGAAAAATAATTATTGCAAAAAAATAATTAATTGGAAAAAAAAAATCAAATTCGGAGCTGAAGACAGAGTTATACATAAACGACATGCATATATGAAATGAAGTCACATGAAAATTGAAGAATTGAAAAAAAAGGGCGATACAGAACAATGGCAGAGGGGATATTAAAAAATGAAAATAAAATTAAAAAAAAATTGGGAACGAATAAAACACGGAAAGGTGCTTACAGGTAAAGCTTTAAAGATGGAGAAAAGGGGCGCACCCAATCGATAGCTGAGGGCGTCGAGATAGATGTTGGGAGCAGGATAGGCGTTGGCAGCAATGGAAAACGGTGGTGTGTGGCGGCAATGTTTTGGCCGGAGGGAAAAAATGCAAGACCGGAACAGCTATCCATAATATTTGTTACAGAAATTGCAGGATTTAGGATTTAGGATTTAGAGCAAGTCCAAGGCTAGTAATCAAAATTGAAGCATCAAATGTCTATTTGGTATCAAACATCAAATAAATAATCAAATTTAAAAAATAATCTTAAATTCATTCATTTAATGTATACCACTTTTAAATTATATTAAAACATTTAATTTAATGTACATTAAAAATTTATTTAAAATAAAATGGTAACCAAATTTTATAGCCACGTGTCGGCTTATAATTCGATGTCACGATTTTCGATAATTTTTTTTATTCACATGTTAGTTTATAATTCGATGTTACCATATCCGATAAGATTTTTTATTGCAACGTGTTAGATGTTGATTCGATGGTAAGATATCCGATATGATTTCCTATCTATATCAAACCTTTTAAATATCTCATTTGTTCACAGAATTTAGTATCCACAATTTCTATCTTCTTCATCTCTATTTCAATATGCATCGTAATCAAGGTGTTTTAACAGCTTTCTTGTCCGACTCCGATTCTGATGATCTCGAGATGCTCGTAGAAGCAACTGAAGAGGAGGAAGCCGAGAAAGAAAGACAACGCACACATCGTCGTGGTTCAGTTCCTGGTAGATGCGTCATTAATCGCGATAGAGGTGAAGGTCATAATAGAATTTATCGTGATTACTTTTCTGATAATCCTGTATATCATGGTGTTTATTTTAGGAGAAGATTTCGCATGCACAAACCTCTATTTTGTAGAATTCTTTCTGATGTTGAAGCATACGATCCATATTTTGTCCAAAAAAAAGATGCAGTAGGGATCCCCGGTTTATCATCTCTTCAAAAGGTAATTGCTGCATATAGAATTCTTGCTTATGGAGTTCCAGCTGATTTTCTGGATGACCACATACGCATAGGTAAAAGCACTTCTATTGAGAGCTTACGTCATTTTGTGAAAGCAATCGTTGCCATTTATGCTGAAAAATATTTAAGAGCACCAAATGAAGATGATTTGTCTCAATTGCTCCAAGTCAACGAGCAACGTGGATTTCCAGGAATGCTAGGAAGTATCGATTGCATGCACTGGGGATGGAAAAACTGCCCATCCGCATGGCAAGGTATGTATTCTGGTCATTATCGTAAACCGACCATTATATTGGAGGCGGTTGCTTCACAAGATCTTTGGATATGGCATGCCTTCTTTGGAATGCCAGGCTCGCTCAATGATATTAATGTTTTAGAAAGATCTCATGTCTTCTCAGCATTGACCAACGGTCGTGCACCTCCGGTCAATTTTATTGTCAATGGAAATAATTATCATATGGGCTATTATCTAGCCGATGGCATTTACCCTTCATGGGCTACTTTTGTTAAGACAATACCAGCTCCAATAAGTTTAAAGGCGAAGCATTTTGCACAAGCCCAAGAAGCCGCGAGAAAAGATGTAGAACGGGCCTTTGGGGTACTACAAGCTCGTTATAATATAGTGCGTGGACCAGCAAGATTCTGGGATGAGGAGACACTAGCTAATATAATGAAAGCATGCATTATAATGCATAACATGGTTATTGAGGATGAACATGGGCCAGGTTCCATTGATTTTGATTTTCCAACTCCAAATGTTATACCTTCACGCGAACAAACAAATGAATTTAGAGACTTTATTCAAATTCATCACCAAATCCGAGATCGTACTACTCATTCCCAACTTCAGCATGATCTTGTTGAACATTTATGGGATTTACACGGTCAAGATTAGTATAAATTATCAATTGCAAATAATGTTAGTCTTCTTTACTTTATTTTTATTGTATTGCATTGTAACTTATTTTATATCTTTAAATTTGATTTGTACTTGTCATTAAATTTTTCAATCACCCAACAATAATTTTTTTTATTATTGATAAAACAAAAAAGTACAATACCAATTAAATTACAATGGAAAATACTTAAAATCAATTATCCTACTCAATGAAAAATACTTAAAACCAATTTTCCTACCTACAATGCAAAATACATAAATAAACAATTATATTAAACCATTATTTCTCAATATTTCCATTTTTTTCTTGTTCCAATAAGCTGCATGAATTTCTTCCATCCCACTAGTATCTTTCGCCATAATTTCCATCTCTACACGCTCTTGTTCTATACGTTTACGCCCTTCGTCAATTTGTTTACGCTCTTCATCTATTTGTTTGCGCTCTTCGTCGACACGTATTGCATTTTCTTGTATTGTTATGAGCCTTTCGCGTTGATCATATCTTTCGCGTTCTATTACCATCTTTGCTTCCCAACGCTCATCGGTAAGTGACATTCTAAATGAGCTTCCACCTTCCGTTATGCCTTGTTTTCTCTTGAGTTGGGATTCCTTGGACAATTTCTTACCCAAAGGCCGATCTTTATTGGCCGAAAGCTCACTATTGTTATCTTCTGATGATATTTGAGTACCTTCAAGGTTGATAGAAGACGTATTTCTTTGCTTATTCTTTTTAGAAGTATCAAGCCATTTCTTCTCGTGCTTTAGAATATCAAAACAGTGTTCAAATTTGAATGACTTTTTATCATTGTTGGCAAAATATAGTGCTCTTGCTTCTTCCACCTATGACACAAAATATTCAAATGTTAACAATAATATTGATATATATTAAATATATGAAAAGAGAAGGAAATACATGTACCCTCCCATGATCTGTTTGACCAGACTGATTCCTATTGTTAATTTGATTAACATAACTAATGAACTTTGCACAATGGGTGTTAATTTCTCGCCAACGATTTTTTATGCTTTGCTCACTACGTCCTCCTTGACCGCAATTGGTTATGAATTCGTCGTAAATCCTCTTCCAAAATCCAGTAGATGTTTGTTCGTTCCCATGAACGGCATCTTTGCTTGTATGTAGCCATGCCGACACAAGAGAAATATCTTCCTCACAAGTAAAATTCGATGATCTTTTTTGTCTACTCGAAGCACTAGCACTAACAGTATTTTCATGTTGTGTAGTTGGATTCACATCATAGCTTTCATCATACAAGGGTGAGTCTTCATTGAGGAGATTGGTGAAATTTCCATAGTAATCGGAGTTCATCTGCAATAAAAAAAACAGAAAAAACAAAAAAAAAACAGAAAAAAAAAAAATTAGAAATCATAAAACATAAATAAAAACAATTAAACCAAAGCAATTACAAGCCCAACCCTTCCCAAGCCTAATTCTCAAATTATTTTAACTAAACAACCCAAAGCCCAAATTAGTTATTAAAATCCCACTTCCCAACCCAACCCAACCCAACCCAATTTATATAAACAAATATGCCCCTCTTAACCCTAAAACATACGCCTCTCTCCCCTCTCACTTCTTCTCTCTGGTTCAAGAAGAAGGAAAAAAAAAAAAAAAAAAAGAATTCAGTCTCTCTCAAATCATCTCCCTCTCTCTAATCTGCCTAATTTATTTCACTCATGGCAAAACTATCCTCTTTATCCCTCCAATTTCTCTTTTTTTCTCAGTATATCCACACTTTTTTTTTTCAAATACCTTGATTCGAAGAACAAAAATGGGGAAAGCAGAAATGCAGAATTGTGATTTGTTGGGATGAAGATGATTCGAAGGTAGGTTCAGATTATATAGATTTTACCTCTTTCTTTCTTTCTGAAAATATGACCGTTGGACCTCTTTTTCCTTCTGAAAATATGACCGTTGGTGGTGGTTGGGTGGTGTTTAAATTTTGTTATTTGAAGTGGAGGGGGTGTATTTTTACACCCCAACATCTGAATAATCAAAAAAATGCCTAGGTATAATTACTGCGTTGGAGAAGATAAATTTATACTCAAAGCATCAAATTGGCAGTTATGCCATTTAATGCTTCATTTGGTGCCTGCGTTGGACTTGCTCTTAGGATTTAGAGAGAGATTGCAGACGACAAGGCAGTGAAAAATGGGTGGGCCCGAAAAAAAATAAAAAAAAAATAGAAAAGCACAAGGCAGGAGAGATAAACAACTAATAAAAAAATGATGCGGATGTCATGTTTCGTTATAAATCGACCATGGCCCCTGTTACAGGGGTTAATTTATCACCGAAATTTTCTCTTGTACGGCCTGATTTGCCCACCAAACCAGTCAGCCTTCCTCACGATTTTCTTCGCACAAACACGCACAAACACTAGTCTTTTCAGCCACGTAAACGAACACAAGAGTATGCAGCGGAAAACAAACACACAAGCACGTTTACGGGCAATGCCCAACCTTTATATTAATTCCCACAACGAATACAAAGGAGACTAAGGTGCACACACAAAATCCTCACTCATAATTGCCCAACAATTGCAATCTGAACTCTCATATGCTAGATACCTCGGATTTGTGCACTCATAGCCAAATAAATACAAGGAAAAGGTAGTTTTCACACAAAACTACCTAAGGACACATGGCAGCATACAAACATGACGCTTGGCCAACTATTACAAGTATAAAGGGGCAGTTTTCATGCATTTCTAGGCCTCAACCGCTCCGTAACTTCCTCAAATCCGCCCCTAAGGCTGATTTTCGAAGCCCAACTTGATCGAGCCCACGAACGCGCGCCAAACGGCCCAAACAGCTCGGCCGGTTGCTAGGCAGCCCATCTGCCTTGCCTTTTCCGCACTTTTGCTTGCCTTTACCGATACTTGCCAGTTCTTTGCCCACACGGTCATCGGCACGCCCGCTCATCGGGCTGCCTTGCTTGCCTTGCCAATTTTGCCCACACTTGTCAAGTCGTGGTCGATTTCCCTCGAACGTTCGTTTGCATATTATCGGCCGCATGCCGATTATTGCCCACGCTTTGTCCGTCTTTGCTGCCGAGCAACGCCCGTGCCAGCCACAAGTACTTTCGATCACCGTTCCCACTTGAATCAAGCCGATCCTTGCTTTCTCGGCCAAACACCCCAAATGCTTGCCGATCACTCGACCACTCATTGGCCGAACGCCCGACCACTCATTGGCCGGTTGTGTGGCTGCCTTGTGCCAATCCCCACTTGGCACCATTTATCGGTCATGGCTCGGCCACACTCGAGCCATTACCGATATCACCGATTAAGGGGGTAACAGACCTCCCCCACCAACGGTGTTCGACGCCCTCGTCGAACCGACACTATCGGCTTCAGCTTTCCACTTGTCTTGCCACCGTCTTCGATTATGCTTAAGCACCAGCACCACATCGAATCCCATATCCCAAGTCTGATCCCACGAATTTCCCACAAACTCTTTCAGCCCTCGGAAAAACGAACGCCAACCACGTTCAAACGGCAGCACCCAACCACAAGTGAAAATACTAGTTTTTGGCACAACTAGTATTTTATCTCGATTGCCACACCGATCGAGAAAGGAGACCTCCAGCCCACGGAAATCACCCAAGCACGGCTTCCATTTCATCCACAACAGAAACCAGCCCAACAAAAATCCAACATGCCACAGAAATTCAGAGAATACCACATTTCGAACCCACGAGTTGTGCCACACACGGCAGCAACTTGGAACAAAAGTAAGGCCACAACGCCCATTCATAAGCCCAAATGAATACCTTAACTTGCCTTCTGCCCTCGACTCATTTCTCGGCAACACACGTACCAGCAAACCAGTCCGAGAATTCACCGTCTTGGCTCCAACGGCTGCAATTAGACTCGATGACTCCTCGTCGTTCGATTCTGTCTCTAATTGCACCGCACCCAACCTTGACATCGGTTTCTTTCCCGCCTTTGCTTTCGTCACGTACGAGCATTCAACGAAGCATGGACGCTCATCGTCCATAATCATCAACCCTCCGAGAAACGGTATCACCGCAGCCTTGGCAGCAAGTAGGAACTCTTGCCCCAATATCACATCGAAATCATCTAGTGGTACGGCAGTCAGTCCGCACTGCCCTTTCCAAGAACCGATCACAAGATCGACATCGGTTCTGCCTTTCACCGGCCCCGCCTCTGAATTTACAGCCTTCATTTGACTTGCATGTTTCGAGAGAACCAAGCCCAGCTTCTTGACTTCTCTCTCGGCAACGAAGTTGTGTGTTGCTCCCGAGTCAACCATCGCATTCACTTCTTTGCCATTGATCAGCACCGAAGCATACATCAAGCCCTTGGTGCCGTTGGGTGCCTTGTCCACGACCAAAGCACTCAACATCTGAATCGGATTTGCTCTCCTCGTCTCGTCCGATTCTTCCCCACTATCCGACTCCCGCATCAAAGCATTCAACTTGCTCCTCTTCGGACAATCCCTCATTCGGTGGTTGCCATCACAAAGAAAGCACCCACGGTTTTGTTTGTTGACGACGGGCTGTCCACCGGTCTTGGCATGCACCGTGGATCCCTCGCCATCACCGCTCTCTTTTTGCTTCCAATTCCGGCCACCCTTGCCACCGAACTTCTTCCCCTTGGACTTATCCCTCTTCGAGCCTTCCTTATCGGAATCATCGGCCCCCATCACCTTGTAATCGACAAGTCGGTCCGCTGCCGAGATAGCACTTGGCAGATCCTTCACACCTTGTCTCCGCAACTCGGTTTGGGCCCATGGCTGCAATCCAGCCATGAAGTTGAACAGCTTATCTTCATCGGACATATCACGTATGTCAAGGAGCAGAGAACTGAAGTCCTTGACATACTCCCTCACGGTTCCCTTGTGCTTCAATTGCCGAAGGGATTCCCTCGCAATCCAGCCCACGTTGCAAGGTAGGAATTGCTCTTTCAATTACCGTTTCAGCACCTCCCAAGTCTCGATCTTGACTCGGTTGGCAC